TCTCCCCCCCCCACTTTGCATCTCCCCCCCACCCACGTTGCATCTCCCCCCCACCCAGTTGCATCTCCCCCCACCAGTTGCATCTCACCCCACCAGTTGCATCTCCACTCCACCAGTTGCGTATCCCCCTCCCTCTTCCGATCACGCTCACCCAGCTTGTAGAGGGCGCTGTTCTTCCGGTCCGTCTTGGGGTGGTACACGCACACCTCGTCGATCACGGCCACCTTGTCCGGGGGGTAGGAAAGCAGGGCGGGCCACAGCCAGTCCAGGCCCCAGCCAAAGTAGGCGTCGAAGAGGGTGGGGCGCACCATGCGATCGAACAGTTCCATCTCGAAGATGGGGGCCATGATCTCCACCATGTTCACGTAGCGCAGCACCATGGAGCGCACGGTGAACAGCGCGCGGTACGGCGTCCAGGACCTGTGTGGAAAGCGCGGCGACCAGGGGATGGTTGGAGGATGGTTGGGGATCGGTTGGGGGCGCGCGGGGAGGCACAGAGGGCCGATGGTGAGGCATGGGACGGTGCAAGCTCACTGGGCACTTGGGGTGGCCATGCACATCCAGTGGGAGCCCTGGAGCCCAGACCCCGGGGCATAGGAGCATGGACGAGGAACACTGTCAGCAGCCATCGCATGCTGGGCCCAATCCAGGCTGCTCCCCCCTCCCATGGCAGGCGGGTGCAAACTCACCCAGGCTCGTTGCAGACGCTGGGCTGGGCAATGAGCAGGTCAAAGGCTTCAAACACGGCGAGGGCTGTGTTCAGGACCTCCCCACCGGCCACCTCAAGGTCATCATCTATGAAGGAGATGGCTGGGAAGGAGGGGGCCGGAATGCATGTGGATCAGCACCAGCGAGAGCGACCTGTTCAATCAACTTGCCGCTCATGGACGTCAGGCTGCACAACCCCTCCCTCACAACTCTGCTCGACACCGACACACACCCGTGCACACAACCCCCTCCGCACTCTTGTATGCTTTCCGGATGAGCTGCCAGTCGGAGTGTAGAGTGAATCGCCAGGCCAGCCGCCATTTGGCGCCCTGGCCGGCAAACACCTAGCGGGTGGGGTGGGGTGCTGTGGCCAGTGGGGCTGGCCAGCATGTAACGACAGGGCACTGGCTCCTCCTTCAGCGCTCCTCTCCACACTCTGGCAATCCGGCTCGACCCTCTCACCTTTGTGCAGAGTGGACAGCTCTTAGCAGGGTTGCTGCCGTAGTATATGAGGTACAGATCCCACGTGGCATGCTCCGGGTCGGTCATCCAGGATGAGGCATTGAATCTGTCCCCTCCCAGGACCACCACAAGATGGCGTCGCTCAGCTCGCCTGCAATGGATACGTGAGACGGTCACTCTGGCCGCTGTGATGCTACCATGAAGTGATGGGGGACATGTTGTGCAGCACGGGCAAGAATGGTTTGGTGCCCGGTAGCTCCAGCCCCTGCGCCAAGCGCATTTCACCCCAGGCTCTCGAGCACCCAGCGCTCGTCCAAAGGCATCAAGCATGGCACCCCCGCGTGCAGTTCCCCACGCACTCTGACTTCTTAGACTCGTTGAGGGTCCTGAGTGCTGCTGCTTCCCGATCATGCGGTGCAACAGCAGCACTCTGTCTGAGCCTTCGCTGGTGCTCCTTCAGGTACTCTTGGACCTGCCGATGCATGTCGGCCTTGTCCACTTGCTGTGGCGGTTCACCCATGGGCAAGGTCGGTACTGTGAAATGAAACGAAGTGGTAGAGGATCTGTTTCCTTCTCAGCGACGCAAAGGCAAACTCGGTGCCACCAGGTGGAAACTCTGTGTTTGAAACCCTGGACCGCAGCCTCCGGCAGTCTGCGCGTTGCACAATACTCCTTTCACCTTGAGCCAGAGCTACTCCAGCTGTCCCGAGCAGTAATATACATGCAAATATATAATTGCTCGGCATCGCCGCGACCTGCGGCTGCTCCAGAGCTGACCGAGAGTGTCGCGACACTGCCGTCGCTCCAAGAGCCCGACTAGCCTTGACCTCTCATCATACCGTCGTGACGGACAGAAGTTACTGCGAGACGTCCAATTCTTTACAGTCAAGGTCTAAACGTGACAGGGCAATGCTAGCCAATTTGATCGCCAGGCGGAAGCCCCCACGTGAAAGATCCCCCCCGCCCCCTCCCTGTGCAGGACGAGACTACCACCAGATCGTCGCATTTAACATTCATGCATGAGATGTGCAAGCATCACACAGCATGCTCAGATTGCAGGCACCTACCACAACATCAATTCAAACCAACCAATCACCCCCAAAACTGGTGTGTGTGTTGGGGGGGGGCGAGGGGCGTGCATACACGATCTTCAATGTTACAATGAGGAATGTTCTCATTGCATGCCGAGGTCACGTGAACCGATATTTTTTACTTGCTCGTTAGCTTCCGCACACGCACTCTAGGTTTCCTCAGCCAGAAGATCATGAAGGTGATGGCCAAGCCAGCGCCATAAAAGGGAAGCAGTCTCCACGCTACCACATTCACAACAGCCTGTGGGCCCGCAGGAGTACTTCGTAAGATCTAATGGGGAGTGCTGGTGTTTGCAGACAGCATCCAACATTCTACCCGCGCAGATTGAAGGAAGGACGTCACCTTTGCTGCTATCAGGGTGGGGGTTGCCTTTCCCTTCTTGACAATGCCGACCACATCACAGGACCACTGAGAGAATCCCTGCAAAGATCAGCAAAGAGCTCACGTATGGTTTCTCACGCAGGGTGAGAACTTGCAAGAGTACTCGCCGACATCGAGGACTCTGCAGCGGTTCAGGCTGCCGCTGTCGACACGCCAGTGACGAGGTGGACCTCCCCACTCCCTCACATTAGTTATGGAAAGGGAAAACTTCAAGCAACCTGCCGCCGCCACCCATGCATCTACTGCAAGCCAAGACATACCCTCGGACCAAACATCCTCCTACCACACCTTTGAAGCTCTGACATTGGGATCGAATCTCCACTCTGAAAAGCGGCGAGCCTCCTCTTCCTTTGCCGTGTAGGGAGCCACTGTTGATGTGACAGAGGGATGCTCCTTAAACCAAGCTCTTCAGAATGAATCGCGAGGCAAAAATATCCAACACAATTCATGGCCGATTGTACGCCTTCCCCAGCAATTCAGAGTCCCACGCCGTGTCTCAATCAAAGCCTATTATAGCAGGACGGCATGCCCACCATCACCTTCCTCTTACCGACTTTATAAAGCGAATTCCTCTTGAACCTCGCGGATTCAGGGTGGAAGAGGCAGACCTCGTCGATCACGGCAATTTTGTCCGACGGATATCCCAGGAGGTCTGGCCAGATCCAGTCCAGGCCCCACCTGGGTAAGTGGGGAGAGAATACATGAGTTACTGCTGCAGCCTCTGAGTCTGTTTGTTCATGTCTAACAATATACGAGACGGGGCATGCCATATGAGACCCAGGCGTACGGCCCCATCCCTGCTCCCTCGCAGCCCCAAGCCGGCTCACCCATAGTGAGCATTGTACAGGGTGAGCCTCACGAGCTCGTCGAAGAAGTCCATGTCAAAGATAGGGGCCATGATCTCCACCAGATTGGTGTATCTCAGGATACTTTCGTCACGCTGCCGCAATGTCTCATATGGAGTGAAGGACCTGCAGAGGAGGGGGCCACAGGGAGTGGGAACACATGACGGCTTGAATCCCTATAAGGATCAATGTGTCCACAACTACTCGGATGAGTGTCGCATATCCAGGGTGTGGCTGGACACCTGGGGCCTCTCTCAGGCCTCTGCACCCTACACAAAGTCACACCTGGAGGCGGGGCAATGCACGTCAGGATATCATTGCCTGGCAGGGTCAGGGCATGACACGGCAACCCCTCCACCCCTCACCAGTGCGCCCGGCAGACACTGGGCTGCGCGAGCAGGAGTTGGAAGGCAGTCACCGCTGCAAAAGCTGTGTTGAGCACGCCCACGTCCGCCATGATGAGGTCATCGTCCAGGAACGCAATGGCTGTTAAGCCATCGAGGACGGGGGAGGGTCAGTGACCAAGTGCCAGAGCCCAAAACACTCACAGCCGCGGCCGTTGCAAGCTGGCGTGGTTCTGAGAAGGTTTGGAAGCCCTCCCGGTATCCGTGCTCCCCATTCCTGTACCTTTGTAGGTGCTGCGCATAGTTTCCCACTCGGGCAGGAGCGTGAGGCGCCATGCCAACCTCCACTTGGGGCCCCTGCCCCGATATACCTGGGGATGAGACGCGCCGATGGGATGTGGTGACAAGAGGGACAAAAACCGCTCAAATTACTCAGAATAAAGAGATGCTGTGGAGGTATAGAGACGCACAGATTGCGATTGCGGGGCCAGCCAATAGGCCTGGGGTCCAAGGAGCGGGGATGACAGCCATAATATCCCTCCCAAACCCCAGTCCAACCCGCACAAAGCGCAATGAGGTCAAGCAGGTCACCTTGCTGCACTCTGCACACGCGATGGTAGCCGCATTGCCATAGTAAATCCAGATCAGGTCCCAGGTCCTTGCCCCTCCAAGGGATGTCCACTTTGTGGGGTCAAAGTCATCACCGCCTGCTACAACCACCAGGTCCCGTGGCTGGGACTCTCTAGGAAGGAGGAGTAGCGCATTCCGTGACTTTCTTGCAGGTCTAAGAGACACTCTGCAACATGTCTCCCTGGATTTCCTCCAGATCAGGGTGGTACCTGGCTCAGTGCAATACTTGCCAAGGATGCCAGCACCGCCTCCACTCACCAATCACCCCTGCTCACCCTTCTACAGGACTCTTGAGCCTTTCAAATGCAGTCTGACGCACTCGAGTCTCTTCTGCTAGGTTGCCGCGCATGTTCTGCAATCGGAATTGCTCAGCATAAGCATTCACTCGCTTGTGGACATCAGTCCTGTTGTATGCCCAGTCCAGTGCCGGTGGCAACTCGGTGAGGACTGGAGCAGGGGGAAGTGGGGCAGCAGGAAAGGTTTACGACACAAACTTCAATGTTGTCGCCCCAAGACTTTTGCTCAACAGGGCAATACAAGTCCTGCTCCCGGGGGTTGAGCCAAGGAGCGCCGACCAACTCACGTCCCACCCAATTGAAAGTCCAGAAATGGCATCGCACCGGTTTCGGCAGAACGGCAGAGGGTAACAAATACCATTACAAGCCAGAGGAGGTGCAGGGCCGGCCCATGTAAAAGGCAAGGAAGCCTCTGTGAACCTTGCGGCCACTCGGCCATTGGGGGTCTCAAGCCAGAACAGTGTTCGACACACGCGTTCCCACTCACGCAAGGTTATCCCTTATTGTCATTCTATATATCCCAATTTAGAATGAAATTGGAGAAGGCGCGGGTGAGTCTGACTTGAAACAACACGTCCGAGACAGAGGCACGTGGGTTTTATTGAATCATTGAATCGGCCCAGCTGCTCCGTAGGAGATGCCTCTCCAGAGAGCGCCCTGTCCCAGCAACGCTCCCCCGCCTCCCCGATCACCTTCATTGTGGCATTAATTTTGCTCGCGGAAGGTGTTGGCGTGCGACAAGGTGGCATGAAGTAGCCAGGAGGATGCCTAGGCCCCCACGAGCATTCTGGGTGTTTGCCGTGTTGACCGTGGTCTCGCTCCTGCAATGCCAGGCCGTGCGCTCCAGGGAGGAAGATCGTGAGTTGGGAGGATCCCTCTAACAGTTCCTGTGAATCCTATTCCTGTGCGCTTGCGCTGACAGCCGTCCCCGTCTGCGTCGTCCCCCTGTGCAGCCGATGTAAAGGCGCGACGTGCAGCCGCGGCCAACGCCCGGGTTGAGCGTGCTCAGGCACGGAGACGGGACCCAAACTTTTCCAATGTCACAGCCTCCGTCTTCGACTGGCAAGCTCGATTCCTGGCGAACCAGGGAGACAACACCACCGCCCTGACACCCGTCAAGAACAAGACCGGCACCTGGTGGAAGGGCCTTTTCTCCCGAGATAGCGCCGATCGGGGGACCACGGCCATCGTGAACGGGGAGTGCGAGCTGACCAAGAAATACCAGCCCGCCAAGGACTACCTTGTGATCGTCGCGGTGGGAGACACAGGCAACCCCCTCACGTGAGAGGCCTCGTGGCTTTTGGGCCACGCCTGGGTTTGATGTGTGCCTGTGTGCTGAGGAAGAGTGCTTGCTGCTCTTCCAACGCCTGTGCACCGGCTGACAGGGACTTCCAGGCTGTCGGATCATCTATGGGCTCAGCTTTCCCTCAGGAGAAGCTGTGTGTGCCAACTGCCTCATGGCCAACGCAACACAACTCGCAGGTGGCTCAACCATGCCAAGTGGGCCAACTTCGACCTGGTGGCGGTTTACTTTGGCGACAACGCATACTTTGACTGCCCCCAGTGCAAAAAGGTGTCCATGATTGGGCGAATGGTGGGACGATGTTGGAGCACTGGTGGAGTTTCCCACGCCATCTACCTGGGGAATAACCGGTGGCAGGCGCCAGATGCACATCATCGAATTTCCTGGCCGACAGGTGCACATCTCCTCTCGCAGAATCAGAGGACCATGCATGCTTCTGCAACCTGCCCATGCCCGGATGCAACGCAGGTGTACCATGGCAAGGCCCAGAAGTTCCGCCTCTTCTACTCCCTGCACCAAATGCCGGAGTGGAAGAACCTGACGGCGCAGTACAAGGCGGTGATGACGGCAGATGATGACCTGGTCATGTCCACCTGCGAGATCAACAGGTATGGGAAGAGAGTGGTCCATGAGCGCTGGGATTGTGCAACGAGCCGCACCACACGAGGCGTGCGGGCTTCCTCATTGCTGGTACCTGGTGCGCTCAGTTGCTTGACAAGGTCTCTGCGAGAGGTCGCCCTACGTCCCCATGCTCTGGAGCAGGGCGTTCGAGATCTTTGAGGAGAACAACCTGCTGATGGGCCAGATAAGCCTGTGTGAAACGCAAGAGGTAGGAGCTTGCGGTAGGGCCCTGGAGTTGGGATGCGAGGGGTTGGCCGCTGCTCCTGGTCCTGGATACACTGTCACCCGGCCTGCACAAGGACCCCCCCACCCCCAACCCCTCTCGCAGTCCTTTTCCTACTGGCGGCTGATGTACCAGCAGCCCGACAAGGTGTTGCGCTACGTTTCATTTGTGGAGATCATGGCGCCCATCTTCACAATGCGCGATGGATTCTATGACGAATTCATCGTGCCCACCCTGTACGATGCCTACACAGGTAACACGAGATCTGGAGGTGCACCCTTTCTTACATAGATTGTGCATTCCCGAGGGTGAACAGCCTGGGGTAGCTGAAGGAGGGCTGGAATGGGCAGTGCCAGCTGAACAAGTCACCTCTTCCTAAACACCCCTTCCCCCTTTATTCCCCATTCCCCCAGGCTGGGGCCTGGACTTTGTGTGGCCCTTCCTGCTCAAGTACCCCAAGAACCGCATCGCCGTCATCGACGAGGTGTGCATGGTCCACCCCTCCAAGAAGCTCTCCGGCCAGTCCATCTACTCCTCCGGCGCGCCCTACGATCAGCGCGTGGAGGAGGCGCGCCGGGAGGCTCAGTTTGGCTACACCCGCGCGGCCGTGCGGCGGCTGGTGAGTGCGCGAGGGAAAGAAAGGGCCACCCACGACGTAGCACTGCCGCCAGGGTCTGGTGATGAGTGCACATGCTCGGGAATTGGCCCATTGTTGGCTCACTGAGCCTTGTTACGGCGCTGGGGGTATGCAGGGCCGAGGATGTATCATGCCGAGTCACAAGGCCATGTGCCAGCCATCGAGCGCCTGGGCCGGCCCCCGCTCCACCTCACCCTTCCACCATCCATGCCGCCAGGGCTACCCCTTCTATGCGGTGCAAGAGTTTGGCGCGCTGGAGCGCCAGGCGGGCGGGAATGCGCTGGACCGGATGGACCTCTTCATCCGAGCCAGGCTGGGCCGCTGGTTTCCCCTCCTCCTGGGCGCCCAGACCTTTGCCATTGCCGTGGGCCTGCTCCTGGTCGCGATCCGGCTCATACGGCGCCGCGTGAAGGGAAAGCGGGTATGAGGCGGCGGGCCCTGGGGCAGGGCCGGGCTGCCGATGCGCCGAGCATCAAGGTGATGACCAACTCAGTGAAGGGGGCTGTTGTGGCCGCTGGAACAACTTTGCACGAACAAAGGCCATTGCAGGCATACTTGCTACAAACCTTTTCAGACGCAGCTTGAACCCATACTCGTGCTTGTAAGGCTTTCCCTTGTTCGAGAGTGGAGCAATGAGGACCAGAATCCGTGATGCACAAGTGATGTCCTGGAATGGGAGCATTCCTTTGTGTCGATGAACGGGCGTCCAGCCTGCGTCCCAAGTTTACAAAAGATACGCTCTGAACATCAGCATCTTGAAGTGAGAGTGCCATACACTTCCCGGGCAACAGGTGTCCCTGCCATCTTCACATCCACGGTGAACATAGAATCGGTGACTGTCAAGCCAATGGCAGTGATAGGCGAAGAGGACATACCCCTTGCATATGCCGCTATATGCTGGTATTCAGTTTCAATACTGCGAGCTTCACATTGATGTACTGGAAGCCAGTCACAAATTCATTCTGTTCTGTCAGGCGGTTGATATCCTGGGAGGGAATCCAAGGCGATGGATGAACCCTGTCTCAAAGCTGCAGGAGAGCTGCCAGGGGCTTTGCCTCGACGTCGCCCACCTGAAGGGGGTGAGAAGGTCGAGGCTGAAGCTGCCAGTGGACACATTGTATTACATGTTGACATGCCTGCACTCCCGAAACTCTGCATACCCCTCACCTCTACAAGAACCCTGGTGCGCTTTGCAGCAGGAATCAGGATGCTGCCCATCGGCTGCTGCCTGGTGCTATCAGGTATGAGAAAAGGAGACATTGAACCGTTGTACATTCCCCAAACGATTCAGGCTGCCTGTTTTGGATTGCTTGCAGGCACTTCACAGCGCGTGGCCGCACCCAAGCAGCAGCGGTGGACTGCAACACCACTTGCCCTCACCCACCAGGTTCCATCGTGCTCATCAATTATCTCCTCATGCGCTCCAGCCAGGATGATGTTTCCATCAGCATCGAGACAGCTCAGCTCGCCCACAAGGACCCTCCCGTCGTCGATGAACACCTTCAGCTTGCGGTACAAAAGTCGAGCTAGCCTCGCACCGGCCTCAGTATTTTCCATTCCCGGTGGGTCACCCATCCCGGATCGGAAAGACTCGTTTCGGTGCAATGAGCATATCTTGTGTCTCGGAGGAGGACTCCTGCTCGTGCTTTGTGTGAAATGCCCCTCCGCTGTGATTTCGGGAGCTCCAGGCTCGAAAGGTCCTGATCAACCCCATTTTCCAACTATATTGACAAGTGAATCGATGACAGAAAAGTATAGGTGTCTTTCTCTTCGTGTGGCACCCTTTTTGACAGTTCCTCGGCCCGCATCTTGTTTTTAACACGGGGCACTCGTTGTCTCGACGATGCGCCGAAGATCAACCGGTCCTCGGGGATCAGCCGGAGTGATCAGCCTTTAAATTATATTGTAGTGAAGAACAGATGCAAAAGCAGACGCCAATCCCTCGGGAGATCCATCGTTTATTCGTACAGACCGAGGACGAGGTCTTGGCCTGCTTCCAGGTGAGTCGCCGCATTGACCACACAAGCAGTACATCCCAAAGACAGTATAGCACCATTACCACGAGACTGTTCCCACTGCAGGCACAAAAGTGTGTACCTGGGAGCTCGAGCCATGCAGGCCAGAGAGGCCCACCCAAGGTCGTGAGATGTGTGGTGATCCATGCCTTGCACTAGGTCACTCCTCACCCTTCCTGCTCGCAGCACATCCAACACCGCTGCCACACCCTTCTCGCAGCCTGTGTCGGGGGAGAGGTTCCTGGTGCTCACGTATCGGAAGCGGAGCCGACTCAAGGGGCTGAAGGGCACGCTCCAGGTCTGCAAGCTCGTCCAAGGGAGCTACCAGGTGGGAGAGCTGGCAGCTGGGGCCTCTTGGTTCATTGTGCCTGCTCAAATGGGTGGTGCACTCAAGTAGGTACCCTGAACAGGAAGCTGCACTGTAGTTGGAGTGATGATGACTGGCTCCCTGCAATGACCACCAGCAAATGAGCATGCCCAGGTGATTCGCTGCACTCGACTGCCGCGAGCAGGTCCGCAAGGCTTTCCGTACAAAGGCGCTCTCTCGCATGGAGTGCTTCCCCGGCACGGGCCTGGTCGAGCTGTCCTTCTCACGCCACGCCTTCACCTCCGGGGAGGTCAAGCTGGCATTCAGGCTGAGCTCCGATGCCCTGCGTCTGGAGTTTCTGGGCATCCTCTACGACTTTTGCACGTAAGGGTCACTTTCAGGAATGCGAGTGCAGTCCGGGGGTGTGGGAGGGTCACCAGGAACAAGGCCTGCCCTCCTCACCTGTATGACCCTGACAGTCGCCCTTGCATCGGCGCACCCGCCTCCCCCACCCCCCCTGTGACGTGCAGGAAGCAGGAGCACTGCCAGCCAGCCATGCTCGGCATCCAGGACCTGGAGCTGAGGGTGTTCGCCGCCAATGCCGGCGCACCCCAGGCCAAGGCGACCGCGGGTGTGGACCTGCCCGGGGTCGCATCCCAGCCCGCCCCCAGGGCCGCAAAACCGCACATCGTCCAGGGTCGCGCAGGGTCTGTTTCGAGGAACCCACCGCGCGAGGATCGGCAGCTGGAGACGCTGCTGGCCCTCGTGGCGGGCGCGGGCGGCAGCCTGGAGGAAGTCACCCTGCAGCTCACCACCGAGCTGGAAGCCCTGGAGGTGAGCACTTTGTGCAGAAGGTTGGGGGGCTATGCAGGCTCAGGCACTGCGTGGCCGGGGCTCTGCGCTGCGCAGCCATCCTGGACCTCGCTGGACCAGCGCCCCGACGCCATGACTCCCCCACCCTCTCCCACGCCGACGAAGGATGCGGGGGTGCATGAGTTGCTGGAAAGCGAGGACCAGGTGCTGAGCCTGAGGCAGGACCTGGATGCCACCATCGGCCTGCTGGATGACCTGGAGGACAACCTGTCCATCTTCGACGCCAAGATGGGGCTGATGCGCCAGGACGTGGCAGGTGAGGGAGGCTGCCCCCGCATGTCCCGCCGCTCTGCCAGGCTTCCGCATGCCTGCTGGTGGCGGGGGCGCGCCCGTTCCCCGACCTGGAGGCCCCGCCACCCGCCCCACGCCTGCGCCTGCAGCCATCGAGGTGCGGAACAACCAGCTGGAGACCCAGTCGCGCAACGACGGAGCGCTGCTGGACACCCTGGACTCGCTGCTCAGTCAGCTCGCACTGGGGCCGGACACCGAAAAGATCCTCATGCACCGCCAGCTCAGCATGTCGGGGTGGGTGATGAACGGCCTCTGTGGACGGGGGGTTGTTTTCCACACCGAACTGCATAGTCCCGCCACGCCACTGCCATCAGTGACTGCCATCAGGAGGGGTTGGTCCATTTCAGTGCTGGCCGTTCCATAATCTCATTGCACCCTGCCCATGCTGGCGGCTGCCTTGCCGTCAAAGTCAGGGCACTGTCGAGTTCCCATGACGCTGCATGCACCTGGTGCATACCACCACAGGGTGGGCGCGTTTGTGGCCGCCTTTGACGAGCTGAGCCGCCGCGTGGTCTCCCTCAGCAGCACCTCTGGGGCCCTGCCGGGCCACCTGCGCGCGATGACAGGTGGGTGGTGCTGAGGGGACCTGTGAGACCGGCCGACTATGCCAGCCGAGGAAAATGATGTGTGGTGTCCTCACTCTGTTCAATTTCTTCCCACTTTCTCTGTCCACTACCCAGTACCACCAAATCCCCTCTTTCTGTCAAGGGGTGACTCGATTGATCTTTCAACCCCCACCCCCTCCCCCTCTCTTTCCGCTAAAACGCAGCGATTCAGAGGCGGGGGGTGGAACTGGCGGCGCTGCAGCGCGGCGCCCTGGCCAGGGCCGTCGCCTTTGTCGAGTCTGAGCTCGCCGCCGGCCACCATAAAGGCGTCGACCTGGCCGGCCTGCACGCCCACGCGCGGCAGCTGCGCCCGCTGCTGGCGCTCGCGGCGCGCGTCTCCCCCGCCGACCTCGACCGATTGCGGCGCGGCTACTGCGCCGCGATTACCGCGCTGCTCGCTCGCAGTGCGCGGGAGATCGCGGAGGCGGCGCGCAGCGCCGCCGCACAGCTGACCAAGACGCTGTCCGCCGCGCTGCCGGCAACCCCAGTCAGCCAAGCGTCCGTAGCCCCACGCGGCCAGTCCTTTGCCATGTGAGCTAGGGCTTTGAGGGGGGAGGGGGGGTGGGGGGGTGTTTGAAAGAGAATGGGTGAGTGGGGTGGGCGCAGATTGGGGGGGCTCATCAGGGGGGCCTACGTCGCTGAGACAAGCTCCCTGCCAGCGACGATGCCCGTATGGGCTCCAGAATCGGTGGTGGCTGCTCACGTCAGAAGGTTTCCGCATCCCCCACCAGGCCCCGGCGGCAGGAGAATGCGCTCCTCGCTTCGCAGGCGGACCCGGAGGCACGGGCGGCTGAGCCCGACGCCCCGGTCCTGGAGACAGCGTTTGTCACCGGGCTCCAGTGAGCACTGGGGAGGGCTGGGGTGGGAGGGAGGACGTTGACTGGATGCAGATTGGGGAAACGGCATGCGAAGAAACTGGGTTTACTACTTACTTTCTGGTGAGAGGCTGCCTGGCACGCCCATGCAGCCATGTTCCTGGCCCTACCCTTGTGTCGCCTCCCAGGAAGCTGTTGGACACGTTCATCCCCCTGGCTCAGCGAGAGCTGGACGTGGCCAGTGAGATATTCAGTTGCAGCGAGGACGGCAGCGACCCGGGGCCTGCGGACCAAGGTCCACGGGACCTGGGCGAGGTCCTCGTCTCGGGGCCTGGCCAGCACATCCTGAACCTGGTGAGGGCGGGCCGTTGCAGTGGCAGCGGGCTGGGAAGGGCGGTGCAAGAGAGGGGGGAGGAGGGTGCATGGGTTCCACCTGCTGCAGGATGCGCCGGACAGCTCCAGCAGGCGATGCGCTGGATGCATGCAGCGCGACCGCGTGGCGTGGGGCCGGTGTTTGCATTGCTGTGCCCAGTGTTGCTGGAGCCTGGCCACGCGCAACCCCTTCTCGTGTCAAACCATGCCGCAGGCCTCGGAAATGCAGGGCCCACACGCCCTGGTGGGCATCCCTGCCCTGGCAGCCGTCTTTGCCTGGCAGCGGCGGCTCACGCGGTCTGGGCAGGGGAAAGGAGAGGACGAGGTGGCCTCTGCACTCCTGGGGCTCCTCGAGCGCGTGGAGGCGCAGCTCACCGGTGCTGTCGATGCCGCGAACGAGAGCAGCCTGGCCGGCATGCGCAGGTGCGAAGGGTGTGTGTTTTGGGAGGTGGTCCCGGCGCTGCATGCCTGTTGCACAGACACTACCATCATTTTCGTCTGTGCATGGGCCAAGCGAGAGCATAACCGTCTCGTGCGTGGATAACGCCCGCGCCCTCACTGCCGCCCTTTCCACCCCCCGGCGCAGGTATGTCGCGCAGCGCTCCACCAGCGCATTGTCCGCCTCGGCGGTCAAGTCGACGCATGTCCTCCCTTTCCTGCCACGCTTCCTGGAGAGCGTGCGGCGCGTGGAGGCGGCGCTGAGCCAGGGCGGCCCGGGGCCGCGCAACTCGCCCGGACGAGGCGCGGGGCTCGCGACGCTGAGCGGCGTCCGGGGCGGGCCGCCTCGGCCGTCCCCCTTTGGGGCCGCGCCAGGCGCCGAGCCCGGCGCCGCTGCAGCGGGGCAGGCTGCCGCCCTGTGAGTCCCCGGCTGGCTGTGGATCGATGGAGATCTGACGTTTCATCGCAGGAAAAGGAATCAGTTGGTTTACTTCACATGTCCACCTGTTGCAGCCACACCACAAGAACCTGAAACCCCACTCACACAAGCACCCACGCCGGCTGCAGAGCGCTGGCCCGCCGCGGCTGGGCCACGCAGCTGGCGGGCGCGCTGGCGGCGGTGGGCGAGGTGGCAGCCCGGGATCAGAAGCACGGGCCCCGCATCTGCCTGGAGAACTACGTCCTCCTGCAGCGCACATTCCAGGCGAGGCGCCTGGTGGCGGGGAGAGGGCATGGTGGGAGGGGGGGTCCGCGCAGTGTCGTGCAGGGCAGGTCCTTGTGTTCTCGGCCAGGCACAGCCCCCCTGACGCTTGCCATGCCATCGGGCTTCCCTCAACACGCCAGATTCCCTCGCCACGCGGTGCAGTCGCGGCGGGAGGGGCCCCTGGCTGATGTCGCCCAGAGGGTGGACACGGAGTGCCATGCCGCCGAGGCCGCCTACATCGAGCAGCAGGTGGACTACTTTGGCTTCACCCCGGTCCTGGCGCTGAGCAGGGTGCGAGGGAGTGGCGCTCATCATGTGCTGTGGGAGTGGATCGAATGGGGTTGACCTGAGGGTTTCGTGGCAGTTTGTGGGGCACTGAACCATGGAAAGCGCACATGAATTCCATGCTGCAAGTACCCAACAAACCCATCTCCACACCTGCAACCCCATCCATGCAGAAACTGGATGATCTGTGCAATAGCCAGCCCAGCACCCGACCCCCGGCCCCCATCAGCTTGTCAGACGCGACGTCGATGTTCGCGTGCGTCGGGGTGTAGGAGCACACACATGCATGGCAGCACGCAGGGGGACTGGGTGTCGTGCCACGCGCTGACATGCTCTCATCCCGGCGACAGCTTCCAGGCTCCCCTCGTCATCCCGGACTCAAACAATAATATTCCTCATGCAGCACCTCAACAAACGGTCTGGCCAAGAAGCTGGGGGCTCTCGCTCAGCGTCTGCTCAAGCATTTTGGGAGCAGCAGCCCCGAACTGGTGCCGCGCATCTGGCAGAGGCAAGAGGGGCGGGCGGATTGTTGGGGAGAGCATGCATCATACACCCAGTCATCGCCCTGTCAAAAGTGACTGTCTGCCTCAGGCCCTTGATACCTCGCACCATATGCAGGCTGGAGGCCATCTGCCTCTCGCGCTGGGAGCGCATTCCCAAGCAGCTGCGTACCTGGTACCCTACCTTTGACCTCCCACTCACTGTGCCCCAGCTCAAGGCACAATTCTTGAGCACAAAGCCCATGCAGACCAAGGCAGCGCCGTGAGAGTCAAGATGGCCCTCCATCATGCCCTGTAACAAATACATTCTTGCATAATGGTATTTTGTCTGCAGGTCGAAAGTACGAATAAGGATGACGTAATTCATATCCAGCTGCGCGGTGGTTGCAGCGCCGTTGCCGACCGGAAGATCTGCGCCCCGGGCGTAGCATCAGACCATACACATGGTCAGCATTGTCGTCCAAACAGGGAGATCACTTAGTGTAGTACGGGCATACATTACACTCATATCAGACGTTAGGCTTGGATCGACGCAGTCCTCCAAAATGACCACTCTGGCAGGCAAACTCATGCCCAAGCGGGATGCCACCCCCGAGGTGACCATCACCTCCATCAAGGACGAGACCCGGACCATGAAGTCTGTGCAATGGTTCGGAACGTAAGTGGTGTAGTTTTCCAGAGCACTGATGCGTCTCGACATAGTATCTAGGGTAATGTGGACGTCATAGAATGTTTTGTATCTCACGCCCATCACAGGAAGGACATTCGGGTGGTCGAAGTTCCAGTTCCAAAAGTCACCGATGAGGGTGATGTAATTCTTCGTGTCACCACCACTGCCATCTGCGGCTCGGACCTGCACTTTTACAATGGTGCCATGCCCGGAATGAAGAAGGGCGACATCGTGGGACATGGTGAGTTGTGGTGCATCCAATCTTTGCATACGAGCGTTGCACATCGAAGAGGCCTGCGCCAAACTATTCCCTCCACTTGATCATTCAACATTGCAGAGTTCATGGGCGTTGTGGAAGTAAGAATATAAGGAGAAGCATTGTGCGCCTGAAAGATGAGTATCTTCGGAGCTTCATTGCAAGGGACCTGGGGACAATGCTCATTACCACACTCTCCATTGCTTCTCCAACACAGGCCGCGGGACCCAATGTGAAGAAGTTCAGTGTCGGAGACCGTGTCGTCGTCGCCTTCGACATCGGATGTGGATCTTGTTTCTATTGCAATAAGGCAAGAGGGAGGTGTTGTAACTGACTGCATCGTCTGATGTCAGAGCGCACACAAAATTTCCTTCAACATCTGACATGGTCTGCAAGTCTTCGCCATGCAGAGCCAGTTCTCCTGCTGTGACTCCACCAACCCCAGCAAGGAGCAGGAGTTCTTGTATGGGCATAACACAGCCGGACTGTTTGGGTACGACGTTGGGCACTCTTCTCCTAAAGGGTGGTGTGTCAAGGGTATAGGTCATGATATTTTCCTGGGATGTGATTCATTTATACTTCTTCTCAGTAGATAGTATCATGAGGATTTGCTCGCTGAATTTTTCGAATTGTTTCTGCAGGTACAGCCACATGACTGGAGGCTGGGATGGCGGCCAGGCAGAGTACGCCCGCGTCCCGTTTGGTGAGTTTGCACATTGGGGTGTCAGCCTGGGCGAATTCCTCCTCCCAGCTGGTGCTTGCACATCAACTCTCGGGCCCTATGCCTGATCTGGCTACTTCAATTTGTCTCTCGCGGCGCGCCTCAGACCCTTCTCCTCGTCCTCAAACCCCTGTAGCCGATGTCAACTGCCTCAAGGTGCCGGAGGGCATGCCCGACGACAAGGTCATTTTCCTCTCCGACATCATGCCCACTGGCTGGCATGGCGCAGAGTGCGGCCAGGTGGGAGAGGGCGACAACGTCGCCATCTGGGGCGCCGGACCCGTCGGTGAGTGGGAAGAGCTGTTGTGGGAGGTGGATGTGATTGCCACTGTCACCAAATTGGTCGAGGCAGGATGGTGGGAATTTTGCAGTCATTTGGTTCAGAATGAAGTGTCCCTAGACGTAGCACGGCTTGCGACCTTGTACTGAATCCCAATGCATTACAAAGCGTGTCCGCCCCAAGCACTGCCCAATGCTCCCGCACTCGACAGGCCTGCTGGCGGCCCAGTCCTGCTACGTCCGCGGTGCAGCCAAGGTGGCCATCATCGACTCGGAGCAGTACAGGCTGGACTACGCGGTTGCCAAGCTGCCAGGCATCCACACCGTCAACTTCAAGGAGGTCAAGGTGCTGGAGGCCCTGCACAAGATCTTCCCTGTCGGACCGGGGCCTGATGTGGCCATCGAGGCGGTGGTGAGTGGCCGAGATTTTCTTGTGTGCGACGATGTGAAGCAGGAGCAGCATCAGTCATGGAATGTTCAGGTCCTTTGGCTCCACGGTGTGCCTTGCTGGCATGGCTTAATCCGCGGGCATCGGCAAAAATGCACGACCCTGTCCAGTCCCTCAACACAGAGACTTTGACATGACTGCTCTGCTGCGACAGCTGAGTACCCCCGACCTCCTTCTCAAACAGGGCTTGCACTATGCCACGTCTTGGCTGCACAAGATTGAGAAGGCCCTCATGCTGGAGACCGATCCATCCGAGGTCCTTAATGAGATGATCGAGGCCACTCGCAAGGTGGGGCCTCTATCAGGGGAATATCGAAGCTTGTTTCGGGACGTGCCGCGATCTAAGTCCATCTGCAACTCTCAGGCCAAGCCAAGCCCCTCACTCCCACCGCGCAGCATGGGCGCATCTCTGTGATTGGAGCGTACGCAGGCTACTGCAACCACTTCAACATTGGCGCCTTCATGGAGAAGTAAGCGATGGGGGGGGCCACAGGCGAACGTGTTGCATCCCTTTGGGTTCCCGACTCCAAGGCTGCACACCAGGAGTTAAGATTGCAATCTCATGCACATCAACCCTCTCTGTGCAGGTCGATGACCATGAGTGGTGGGCAGACTCCCTGCCAGAAATACTGGCCCACCCTTGTCAAGCTGATGCAGGCAAGTCCCTTTCTGGTGGTTGCAAAATTGTGATAGGATGGTTTGTATTCAATCTTGCAAGAAAGACAACCTTGAGATTGGCCTGGTGCACTCTAATCAGTCTTGATCGCCAAGGAGCCCTGCCCTGGGATTCACTGAGTCTCATCGCCCCTGCCAACTACCCCATTGCCTCACAGGAGGGCAAGCTGGACCCCACCATCGTCAAGACGCATGAGCTTCCGCTGGAGCAAGCTCCCGAGGCCTACAAGATGTTCGACGAGAAGACGGATGAGGTGGTCAAGGTGGTGTTGAAGCCAGCACTGAAGGGCGAGTGAACCGGACGTGCTGTACCTTTGAGGTGTCGTCAGGCGTACATCTCTCTGAACGACAGCAAAGGGTCGGGTACTACTACTGGCTGAGCTGCGTGTGATCAAGCATGTGTGCTCTCTGAGCATCTCTGTGACCTAGATCATGATTTTATATACTCATCATAGGATCCCTGTGTCTTCATGTGTGTCTGCTCATCAGTAGCAATTGTAATGTGTCTGAAGAATACATAGATACGTCCCTGGATCGGCTTTTGCCCACTGTTACCTTCCTGTTAAAACATCCATTCCGAGTATCAGCTAGCAAGTCCTGTAAAATTGTGCTATTCGCAATACCCGGAGCACTCTTTACAGGATGCGTTTGAACTCGAATCTGTGAATGTTGCACCTTCCCCCGACAGCACTCGGCTCGCCTGGTGACTGGGAGCTGCTCGCCCAGGGAGCAGCCAACTACGTCCTCCAGCGACAAGGGCCGGACCAAGATGTGAGTGCGTGGGCGGCCTGTTTTGAAGCGAGCAAAGATGGTCCCCATCACAACCTCCGGAGACCCTCGGCCTGGGCGCAGGTGGGTTGGCTTCTGCGCATCCCCAAAATCCGGCAGCCCCCGGATCTGGTGTCTGCCTTTCTTGAGACCCAGATCTGGGCACCGTTCCTGCAAGGCCTGAATTCAGGAAACCCGGCAGACCTGGATGAGTCCTACGTCCGCCTGGTCATGGGACCCTTGGTGGATGCCAAGTACCTCCCTGTCCAGGTTGGGGATGAAGGTGGTGCTGGGATTATGTGGGGCCGGGGGTGTTTCCTGCAACTGCTCTCCTTCAAGTTGCCTGCCACTCAGTGCTCAGGATGTCAACTCCCAACCCTCCCTCGCCCCTCTCTCAACAGCACTGGGTCCCGGTGGAACCTGCCTTCCTCGTCACACTGGCGCAGAGGCCATGCCTCGAGCGGCTGGATGTTGATGTGCGACGTGTCATGCTGATGCGCGACAGCCGCCTGCTGCCTGCCGACACCAGCAGCGGCCGGGACCTGCGCCCCCGCCCCACGGTCTCCGTCGAGATCAAGCCCAAGTGGGGAGCGCTGCCGCACGCCCACACCGTGCCCCCTCAGCACCGAGCCGCCAAGCTGGGCGCCTCACGATATCAGCTGCACCAGCATCTCAAGGCGGCCACCGGCGCCATAGAAGTGCCCAGCGAGTATGACCCCCTGGACCTCTTCTCCGGCGAAGCCGGCCGCGTCTGGACTGCACTGCAGGCCCTGGGCCGCTCACCGCAGAATAACTTTCTCACAGCCGTGGACGGGAAGCCAGGAGGCCTGCACTCCGCATCCGTCGCCCTGTTGGGCCCCTGCCGTGCTGTGCACGACACGCCTGGGGCGGCGCTGCTGACTGTGGTCCGGGACGTGCTCGTGCAAGAAGGTACGACAGAGCGATCGGTTGGATTGAGGGGTGAGGAAAGGCGGTGGAATGATCTGGGGCATGGAGCTGATGGGTTTCATCGCCAAGACGCTCCCACACTCGATTGGCACCCCAAACTCAGGCACGCCACTGCCCTTTCAGCCAACCCTCGTTCTCCTGCTTCAAACATTCTCAGATGCCCTGGCCCAAATCCTGGATGTACAGCGGCTCTGCTCCACGGACATCCATGCTGTGCATGCGCAGTACCAGGCGCTGCTCGACGCGGCCTCGCCCGAGGTGCGCGAGCAGGGGATCCTGCCGCCAACTCCAGCACTTGAGGCGGCCCTGAGCCTGCTGCGCGACTACCTTACCTCCTGCACGGCCCGTGACTGTGCCCTGCTCCTGGCGCTGCGGCGAGAAAGCTCTGGCGGGGGGCCCATGCGGCCGCAGACGGCGGAGGCCCCGGGCCGGGTCACGCTCCATGGCGGCGGCGCCGTGTTCTACCGTCTGACCGTGATAGACCTGGACAGGAAGCCGGTGTCCAAGCTGGCGCGCCACCTGGCGCTGGACGCCGAGATCATGCGTGTGGCCGGTGGCATCGAGCCCGCAGCCGACCACGACCTGGAGTGATCTGGGATGCAGGTGTGCATGCTTGGCTGGGCTTGGTGTGGGGCGACGGCCCCTATTGGTATTGGCTCCCCAACCCCTGTAAACCATAGGCCACATGACGAGCCAATGATCGCATGTCAAGTCATCACAAGCCTGGCAAAGTTCGATTATGGAATCTTAGAGCAGCAAAGGTCACTTGACACTGGCACATGGTTGCTTGGGGTGGGGAGGAGCCCAACCAGCGTACCCGAGATGATCCTCGACATTCCGCGGGGGGGTCCCCTCCACGGACAGCACAGGTGGTGAGCACACCACTGACTGATCGCCCGCCAAGTCAGCGAGGGTGCACGATGTGCAGCCTGGCACGGGGTGCAATGGCCCTCAGCGTGGCGGCGGTGACGGCCTCCTGACTCACGCTTGCCTGGCGGTCCTCCACAAGGACCACCTCCTCGATGCGCGACCAGTCCGCATGGCCCCGGAGGCGCATGCACACCAGTGCGCACTGGAGCGGCCCAAGGGAGGGGTTGTACGCCACGCTTTCCACGTAGCCGCCGCTGACGGCGGGGCCCGCGAGCTCTGCCCCCAGGCGCAGCGCCACGCCAGAGCGGCAGAGGGAGTAGGGCGCGTGGCAGCGGGCTGCAGCCGCGAGAGCAGCCTGTGTGAGCTCCAGGACACCGGGATCCAGCGACGAATCCACGGCCGCGAGGGCCTCGTCGGGGGCCGGATCTGAGCTGGAGCCTGGCCCGCCGGCCTTCAGATTGCCGGAGAGGAGGGGCCTCAGCCCCGGGCCGGAGCCCAGCAGGTCGGAGGGCCGGAACCGATGGGGCAGGAGCTGGTCTAGGGACAAAGGGGGGGTGCCTCCAAAAGAGATCCGCAGCTCCTCCTGGGGCAGGAGGGAGGCGGGAACCTGGTTCGGAAGGACCTCGATGCCGTGCGGGCGGCTGCCGTTGGACAGAGAGCGCACATCCCATCAGCGGCAGATCCTTCCTCACCAATCGCCACGCTCACCACCTCGTTCAGCTCGGCCATGAACTGGCGGCAGTGTCCGCAGGGCGCGGCAGAGACGGCGATGTATCGCAGGGCGGTCTCCCCGTGCTGTAGCGCGTTGACCACCAGGAACTGCTCCGCATGCACCGAGGCCGACAGGGGCACGCCCGGAAACTCCATGTTCACGCCGGCATAAACGGCCCCGGAGGCCCCCACTCCCACCGCCCTATGTGTGTGTTCTTGGTGGAAGGAGTTCAGCCCGGCTTCCTGGCAACGGAGCGATGGTGGCCACGGAGATGCATCATACCGGCAATCATGCCAATGCATGGTACCGGCAGTCATGCCACTCACCCGACTCGGAACCCCGAGATGGGGGCTATGGCATTGGCTGCAGCTGCACGGATCAGGGCGTCCCACATGCCGGCCTGCCGCCCATCGGCATGTGCTCGTCTCAGCGCACGGAACTTGTCCGCTGGAACGAGCATGTCGAGGGACAGGAGCTGGGCACATTCTTCGAGTGGGGAGGGTTCCGGACAGGCAGCCCCTGGGAGAGGTTCACACCCGTTCGGTGCCTGCGCTTGTGCAGAGAGAAGGCAGATCAGGCCATCATTACTGGTGCTTAGAGGTCTCGGCATGCGAGTACGATCTTCTTGGTGCTCCATTCCACGCCCTGGTGGTGAGCCCAGCTCACCGGCGTGCAGGGAGCGACCCCAGCCGAACGCCGGGCACCCATCGTCCAGGAGCCCCCGTCCTCCTGGACGACTCGATCCTGCACGCTGTGATGCCAATTGCGACATTACCTCGGCGGCCTGCGCCCAGCAGGGTCCATGGAAATTCAAGGGTTTCTCACAAGTACCGAACTTGGGCGCGCTCTTCTCCCATGATCTCGGCCCTCCCACGTGCCAACTAAAAGATTGTCATTACAAGCAAGGTGCCCGATTTGGGTTGTCTCTCTAGCATATCAAGGCAATTGGCAAGGGTCAAGCAGGTGCTCTTCTGATGGGTGGCTTTGAGTATGAGTCCAGACCAAGTTGTTTATGGGACAGAGGGAGGGCTTGGCATGCTCTCGTAGGGGAGAAACGTTGCTTGAAATCAAGGGACGACCACCCACACCTTCACTTCAGCAGGCTGCGCAGCTGCAGCAAGAGGGCGGGGTTGGACTTGATGGCGTCGTCCAGACCCCTCACCAGCCCCAGGGTGCCCTCCGGCGTCTGGCACAGCTCCTCCACGCTCCGCATTGCGACGCCCGTGCGCAGCGCCTGCGCAGGAGGTGAAGGAGTGGCGAGGTCAGGATGCAGGGGAGCGAGCGCGTTTGCCCGCGCAGCACACTCGCATGTCCATCGATCGGGACCCCCCCTCACATCGCCCCATCCCCACACCCCCGCCATCCCGTTTCCACCTTGAGCTCCATGGCGATGCGAGAGGCGCCGGCCTCCGCCTCCGCCCAGGCGAGGAAGCGCGCGTCGTCGCGCCACAGCGCCTCCGCGTCGTCCACGGCCCGCGCCAGCACGGTCCCGCGGGAGGCAGCCTCGCCCAGCGCGTCCGCGGCAGGCAGGGGGGAGGACAGGAACCAGGAGCGCAGGCGGGCGAGGGCCTCGCCGGGGGACAGCTCCGCGTCCGCGGCCGCCACCTGGCGCACCAGCGACTCCTGCGCCAGCCTGCGGCGCAGGCGCGCAGCGAAGAAGGCGCGGGAGGAGGCCCAGGGCACGATGCCGCGGATGACGCCCTTGGCCAGCATGCGGACGGGTCCGTCGTGCATCTGGCGGGATGGGGAGGGTCGAACGTCGGTGACAATGATTGGAGGGCTTGCGGCGAGGGGATGTGCACGCAGGGCAGGCGAGGGGCAGGTGGTGCGGAGCATCGATGGCCACGCAAACCTTCACTCCACAGCGCTGATCGCAGCGGGTGTGCAGGGCCTCACATCGCCAGGCTTCAACCTGCACGAACATTTGTGCCATCTGCGCTGCAAGGGCACCAGATGCCATCGATGGACCCCCCAAACCCCAGAGTCTCACACCTGCGCAAACTGCTCGGCGACCTGCTTATACACCGGCAGCAGCTCCGCCTCCCGGGCCTTGACGGCCCCGGCCGCCTTGGTGCCTCCCTCCTTCTGCGGCACGCACGGCGGCGGTGGGGTGGTGAGGGGCCCGCGCGGCGCTCCCGCTCCAAGCACCCAAGGGGTCCCCTTGCCGCAGACCGGTGCACCGCCTGACATCCATCCATCCTCCCATCCCCCCCTTTCCTCACCTTGATCTCCGCCAGCTTGGAGTCCAGGCGGTGCATGGCGGCAATCAGCTCCGCGTTCCTGAACTTGATCTCCACCACGCCCTGTGGCTCCAGCACCGCCCCCTGGGCCAGGAGATGTGTGAGGGGGTGCTGAATGGTGGTGCAACCATCACATGATCTCAAGACAGGTCCTGCCGGCCCCCTCTTCCTCCCAATCACACACAAAGGCGACCACTGAAGCAGCCGTCCCGTCCCAACAGGACACCATTGCAAGGAAAAACGGGACTCCAACCTTCCTACCTGTGCTGTGGGGTCGGCGTACATCTCGATGGCTGCGGGGTTGATCTGGGAGTCCACCACCACCCAGGCCCCCCCGCGCAGCTCGCACCCGGGCCCCAGGTAGACGGTGACGGGGTGGCGGTAGGTGCGCAGCGCCTCCACGATCTGCGACCCGGCCTGCAGCACGCCCTCAAACAGGTCGCGCTGGCCGCCGGAGAAGCCGCGCCAGTTGGCCAGGATGAAGAGGGGCAGGCCCTCCAGGCCAAACTCCTCGATGGCCTGCGCAGTCTTCAGCGCGGAGTCCGGGTACCACACCTGGCCCGCCTGCGGGATCATGCGCTCCGCGGAGTCGGGCATGCCCGGGTCGGCGGGCACGTGCAGCGTGACCGTGCCCACCTCCACCGCCACCACACCCACGGGCAGGCCGCCCAGGCGCGCGCGGCCGGTGACCACGGTGCGCGCCCAGCCGGCCTGCGCCTCGGTCCAGCTGCCGCGGTCGAACAGCCCGCCGCGCCAAGCAGGCGAGGGGTCTCGGTCTAGCCCGCCGCCGCCGCCGGCGCCGTCCCCGCCCTCGCAGCCGGCGATGGCGGCGCGCGCCTCCAGGCGCTCGCCCTCGGCGGGCGCGTAAGCGACCGCGCGCGCCACGGGGTCCGCGCCGGGCAGCGCCGGCGGCGCGTCGCCCAGGCGCGCCGGGGTGTAGGCCAGCCAGCGCAGCAGCGCCGCCACCCCCGCCAGGTCGTCCTCGACCACGTGGTGGCTGACGCCGTTGGCGCCCATCACGCGCGGCCCGCCCAGCTGCTGCTGGCTGGTGTAAACTTCGCGCCCCAGCAGCTTGTTCAGCGCGGCGTAGCCGGTGAGGATGATGGGCTGCTCCCGGCGCTGCACGCAGCGCCGCCCCAGGCGCGCCAGGTAGGCGCCGATGCCCACGCTGCGCCCCGACACCAGGGTCAGGGTCCAGCCCTCGCGGAAGGCGCGTGCGTAGGCCCCCGCGATGGCCCCCGACCCAGACAGGCACTCCACGCCCAGCCCGTCCTCCAGCCCGACGACATCGCGCAGGACGTGGCGCCGGCCGCCGGGGTGGTCCAGCGGCGTGGACGCAAGGGGGGGCGCGTCGGGGGGCGCGCGCGCCAGCAGGTCGGCGTGGTCGGCCTCGTCCAGGTACAGGTACTTGAAGCCGCGGGTGGGCTCCCCCGCAACGTTCCACTCCACCCTGAGGCACCGCTTGACCTCCTCGGCCAGGCCCACGCGCGCGCCGGAGTTGGCGGCCAGGTACACCAGGGGCAGGCGCTCCTCCAGCGCGAACTCGGTGGCGGCCTTGAAGAAGGCGTCCTCGCGCGGCCCGAACGACCCCGAGTTGAAGGTGATGTCGTTGGCCACGGCCACCAGCTGGCGCCCGCGCGGGCACTCGGGCGTGCGCAGCGTCAGCAGCCAGGCCACGACGCCGACGTCGTTGCGCGAGGGCGGGCGCTGGACCAGCGAGATCCTCCCGGAGCCACCCTCGTACCCGTTCAGCTCGGCGTCCGGCACCAGCTCCTCGGCGGTGACCAGGCGGCCATCGGGCCCCGGCCCCGCGGCCTCGCCCGCCGCGGCGCGCTCCAGCCAGGCCATGCGCAGCGCGTTCTCGAACACGGCGGGGAAGTCGTAGGCGTAGGTGGTGCGGTGCCGGCGCGCGGTCAGGCGGCGCTGCTGCAGCGCCTCCAGCGGCGCGTGCGGCTCCAGCACGCGCGCGCCGTCCAGGGCGCCGGGCGCCCGCAGCCCAGGCGCACGCGCGCGCAGGACGGGCTCGCCGCCGGGGCCCGGCTCCTCGCGGTACACGTCCACGCACTCCTCCCCCGCCTCGTGCCCCGTGGGCGCCGACACGACCACGCGCCAGGCGGGGCCGCCGCCCGCGTCGCGCAGGCGCAGCTCCCACTGCGCGACGGCGGCGGCGCGGAGGGCCGCCGCGTTGCGCAGCGCGACGCCCGCCGCCCCGGCCACCAGCGCGTGTGCGACGCCGGCCTCGTCGCGCGCGCCGCCCAGCGGCAGCGGGCTCAGCACCGACAGGAAGACGTGGGCCCAGTCGGGGCGGGAGCCGCCGGGGCGCTGGCCGCCCAGCCGCCCCAGCTCCGCGGCCGCGCCGGCCAGCGTGGCCTCGATTTCTTCGAGCGCCGCGGCGGCCACGGCGGGCGCGTTGCGCGCGTACCCCGCGCTCAACAGCGCCGGGCGGCCCAGCGAGCGCACCACGCCGCGGAGGAAGGCGCGGTGCAGCGCTGCGCTTCGTGGCCCGGCGCGCTCCTCCACGCACCACACGTGCCACTGGCGGTTGCGCGAGGAGGCGTGTGCCGCGCCGCGCCGCGCCGCGAGCCGCGCCAGCTCCAGCGCTGCGGCGGTGGGCGGCTCCACCGCGCCCAGCACCGGCCCCAGCGCATAGCCGCCGGGCGCGCCGGGCGCGGCGTAGAACACCACCCGCAGCGGCGCCAGCCCGCCGCGCCGCGCCAGGAAGCTGACCGCCAGGAAGCCGGCGGCGGCCAGGCGTGGCGCCAGCGCCGCCAGCGCTGCCGCCGCGCTGGCGGCGACCACCGAGGGGTCAGGCACGCCCGGCTCCGCGTCCTCGTCGGCGCAGGGCGGTGCGTAGTCAGCCGTGCCGATGGTGCCCAGCGCGGCCTGGGCCTCGGGGCTCAGCGCCAGCGCCGCGCCGGGCTCCCCCGTCAGCGCGACGTGCAGCACGCCCTCCGCCAGCCCCGCCATGCCCGTCTGCGCGCGCAGGTGCACCGCCTCGGCCAGCGCCTCGGCCAGGTCGGCCAGGCCGGGGACCACCAGCGCCGCGCCGTGACGCTCGGCGCGCGGGCCGGCGGCCGCGCCGGGAACCGCACAGGCATGCGCCCAAACCGCGGCCAGCGACCCGCGTGCGCCCAGGCCCGTCAGCTCGGGCTCGTGCAGCATGGAAGGGAAATAGATGCGCTTGATGTACGTGCTCAGCGCGCGGCGCTGCGGGGGGAGAGGTGTGTGTGTGGGGGTAGTGGTGGGTTGATGTGGTGTGATGGGGGGGGGGGGGGGGAAATGGGGGCTGC